AGAGAGAGAGAGAGAGAGAGAGAGAGAGAGAGAGAGAGAGAGAGAGAGAGAGAGAGAGAGAGAGAGAGAGAGAGATTTCAGACAGTGACGATTTCGGGCCTATGAGCGGCCATGATCTGATTCAACATTTTTGAGGACAGACATTGGTTGGACATTTGACGGGGAGACTATTTCTTGGACGACTACAAGTTCTACTCTTGTCCTCTCTCCCCTCTCCATCTTCGTCTCTCCTCCCCCTTTCATCATCCGTGGTTTCTTACCCATGTGTGTGCGCAGGGAAGACCTTTCTTCTGTGTATGTTTCCCCTCCTTGCTGTGTGACATTTGTGATGATGATTGTGTAAGTTGAGTCTGGATCTGATCTGTCAGGTCATGTCTTCGAGTCTTCCGCTGTGCTACATGCATTTCATCGTTTTGTTTTGAGTCCTGTTCATCACACTGGTGCTCTTGGACATGTGCATTGCTCATCTTCAGATGAGTGCATCATAGGCCCGTTGGTTGGTGCTTGTGAAAGAAGTTTCACAACAAAAATACCTCTTCAATCAACCACCCGTTCACCCTTTGCCTGCCAACTTGCGGTTTTCTTTCCCTTTTTGACCTCGTTTTTTAGCTATACATTCTTCGCCCGAACATAACACATATGCGTTGTATTAGAGTTCTCAAATTTGAAAAAAAAATCGAATAGAACGCATATGAGTTGCATTCAAAATTTAGGGCTATTTGGGGTTAAAAAAAAATAAAAAAAAATTAGGGCTATTTGAGTTGAATGCATATGTGTTGTATTCAAATAGAATGCACGGTATGCGTTCTATAACTTCTATTCGTTTACAACGCATATGCGTTATGTTCGGGGGAAGAAGGTAGCCCACCTGATCCGGGCAGGTCGGTCCACTGTTGCTCAGGTCTGGGTGGCACGGCTGACCAACTGATCCCATGCCACTCTGGCAGCCTAATTACTGACCTAGCTTTCCCGGGGCGCTCGGCCGGGCGTGCCCGGGCGAGGCACCGGGTGCCTCGCCCCGGTAGGTACCTCGCCCGGGTTACCCCGGGCATGCCAAAAATCCACCGATTTTGTTTTTTGTTTTTGGTTTACGGGGATTCGCTGCGCTTGCCGAGTACCGGCCAAATCCGGCCTCATTTTTTTTTCCAGGCATATTGATTTCTGTGTGTTGGGGGCGGGAGAGAGTAGGGACGACTTTGGCAGGAGGAAGGAGGGAGGACTTTGGCGGGAGGAAGGAGGGAGGACTTTGGCGGGAGGAAGGAGGGAGGACTATGGTGGGAGGAAGGAGGGAGGAAGGGGGACTATGGCAGGAGGTACGAGGAGGTAGGAGCAGGACTCTACCGAAGGTAGGAGGAGGTAGGAGCAGAACTCTACCGTAGGTAGGAGGAGGTAGGAGCAGAACTCTACCGGAGGTAGGAGGAGGTAGGGGCAGAACTCTAACGAACAAGAAGGAAAAAACACGAAGAAAAAGAGGACTATGGCGTCCCAGAAGGACTGTAGAGAGTAAGAAGAGGAGGAAGAAGAATATGACGAAGAAGGGAAGAAGAAGAAGAGACGGAGAGAGTTAGAAGAGGAGGAAGAAGAAGATGAAGAAGAAGGGAAGAAGGAGGCTTAGGAGGGTGGGGAGCCTATGAAGCGAGCCCACGGAGGGAGGAGGAGGGGGAAGGGAGACTGATGGAGCGGGGG